CATAATACTGGAATTGAAATATTTAAACAATTAAACGTAAAGGCGACGGAATCACACGCGCAAGGAATAGAGGCATTAACATTTGCATGGAGAAAATGCGTAAAAATTCTTACAATTCTTGTACATATGAATTCCTCGCGGAATTTAATCTTTCCCCACGGAATCGTTGAAGCAAAAATAAAGTAGTGCGTATCAGATTCTGTCGCGGGGGGGAAAGGCACACAATTCAAAGGCGAACAGCATATAATATGAAGCATTTAATATCTTTAACACCGAGACAGCTGGTGTTGCATGAAACGCACTCGTGTGTGAAGTCCGCCTGCAGCCATTGTACAAAATTTCCTATTACTGGACTGCGGACTTTTATACAAAATAAAAATTGTCTGCCTCAATTGCAAGAAATAGAAATTAAATAGCAAGTTTATTCGCTCTTTAATCGTGTTAGTAGATTGAATATATACATTGATTGAATACATTGACATTTTTAAATTATTTTAATCTGTCTACTATTTCAAATTACAATTACCCAGTTTTGTCATAAATGCATAAAATCCGCAGTGTAATAATAACAAATAATACAAATCTAATTAATTGCAGTATCAATTAGGATCGTTAATAGAGGAGCCAAAAACAAATGTATCGCGAGTTGCAATTTTTATGACGTATAGAGAATATTAATCGAAGTTTATCTTAAAGGCACAAGAAACTATTTTTTTTGCAACTTTCCATACAAATTACGACTATGCACTTGTTCTATTTGTGGCAAAGTGTAGAATAACTGACACGGCGTACAATTTTCTATCATTATGTAAACTGGAAGGAAAAAATGACGTTAAAGTAACTACATATTGAACAATAATACTCAACGATGTTTTGTGCACAGGCGAGAATAACTATTTTCATATTGCACAAAGATCCGCTGTCTGATCATTTTAGACTACAGATTTTTATCCGAAATAAATATTTTCCAAGACGGCTACGAGGAACAGAAATTAAATAAAAATAAATTGTTCCTTTTAATCATTTTGATAAAGTAGCTTCGCTACTTTACGCGTAAATGAGCGCTTCGGCTCATACAAAACCATGGGGTTACATTTCTTTTCCTCTACTTCGCGCGTCGATGGCTTCGGCCTTTATCGGTCAATTCCCAACCGTTGCCGGGACGTATTACCGGAATATTTTCCGGAGACCCCGTTACGTTGTCGGCTTCTAGACAACAATAACGAGACAATGCAACCGTCTCACTGTATGAATAATTCCCGTCGCGCGGCGCCGTTTCGCAATTGCCAGCGCGCGCGACAAAATCGGCGCGCGGCATGGCGTTCCCCTCGAACAATGCCGTTGCCGGACTTCGAACAAGTCGGCGTTATTGCTGAGCGCGCGGGAAAACAAGCGAAAGTGATGGAATTATAAATGCATGGGAAAGTGCTGACAAAGGAGCCGTGAATTACCCGCACGAGACATTTAAATTGGGTCGCGTGCGATTGGCCTTGAATCTGGGAGAAACGAGAAGTTCGAGCCGGTGATACAATAGGCACGCGTGAACAATGAAAATATTGCGATTCCTTTATGGTAATAATAGGACATGTAAATTCTAAGATAGCGATCGTTTCAGCGATGACATATGTGATAGTAGGGACGGTTGTAACACCGGAGGGGAATAATACGTTAAATAACTCCAAATGTATTATGGATATTAGTGCACCGTTCAGAGATATGTATAGGGTGTCGAACCTAAAACAGGTCATCTGATTAAGTTGCTTGCTTGTAATAGAAAAAAAAAGTGTCAGGTAAAAGTTGTTCGATTTCGGGGGCATATCAATAGTTTTTTTTTATTGGTGGAGGCGTACATGAGATATTAAGGTCAAACTTGTTTTTTTAAATGGGATGATATTGTTTTTTATTTATATACTGATAGAGTCTTTCGCGACGAATCCAATGACCTATAATAAATCAAGATAAATTATTTACGCTGAGCCTGTTTATTATTAAAAATTAATACAAATTTGGTGAAAGTTATGTACAATTTAGAAGAAAATTTTGTACAAAATATATGGAAGGGAAATGTGTTCATCAAACATATAAATCGAAGGAATAATTACAAAATTTGAAGAAAGTGGTTCTCTCGCAGATGAAGTTAGCGAACTACGCCGTCGTAATGTTCGTTCTGAAGAAAAGAATACGATGATGCGTTTATTGACTCTTTCTGCAAGCGAAACACTTTCTTGAAATTTTTTAATTATTCTTTTGATTTGCATGTTTGATGTACAGTTTTCTCGTCTATCTTTTGCACGAAATTTTCTTCCAACTTCTGCATAACTTTCACAAAATTTGTAATAATTTTGAATAATAAACAGGCGTTGTTGAATCGAATGTTTCTTCATTTTTGTTCACCGCAACTACGCGACTACAGACTCTATTTGTCAAGTGTCAAATAATACATGGCAATCGAATACGAAAAATTTAAATGGCGCGAGATTGAAAAGTAACACTCAGAAATGGACGTTCTTTAACATTTTACCCGCTTCCCATATTTTATTAATAGCATGGATATTACCTGATGCATAACAAAACCACCGATAAGTAATATTTCTTTATTACAAAATATTTATTTTACAAGAACTAGTATTTATTGTAATAAAACTATAATACATGTAATAAAAACTTGCAGATAGGATACATATAATGAAAACTTAAAACTGGTATACACATGTAGTATACCAGTTCATTCGTATACATGTAGTATTCATAGTACATGAAACAGAAATATATATATATATAATAAAAACTGAAAATTGGAACACGTACATTCATTAGAAATTAAAGCTGAGTCGAATGAGATAAGAAAGGAAGGGAAGAGGTGCAATGTGCAAGAAAATAGAAATAGGAAATATACGGAGGAATAAACGTATATCAGGGNAAGGAGCCGTGAATTACCCGCACGAGACATTTAAATTGGGTCGCGTGCGATTGGCCTTGAATCTGGGAGAAACGAGAAGTTCGAGCCGGTGATACAATAGGCACGCGTGAACAATGAAAATATTGCGATTCCTTTATGGTAATAATAGGACATGTAAATTCTAAGATAGCGATCGTTTCAGCGATGACATATGTGATAGTAGGGACGGTTGTAACACCGGAGGGGAATAATACGTTAAATAACTCCAAATGTATTATGGATATTAGTGCACCGTTCAGAGATATGTATAGGGTGTCGAACCTAAAACAGGTCATCTGATTAAGTTGCTTGCTTGTAATAGAAAAAAAAAGTGTCAGGTAAAAGTTGTTCGATTTCGGGGGCATATCAATAGTTTTTTTTTATTGGTGGAGGCGTACATGAGATATTAAGGTCAAACTTGTTTTTTTAAATGGGATGATATTGTTTTTTATTTATATACTGATAGAGTCTTTCGCGACGAATCCAATGACCTATAATAAATCAAGATAAATTATTTACGCTGAGCCTGTTTATTATTAAAAATTAATACAAATTTGGTGAAAGTTATGTACAATTTAGAAGAAAATTTTGTACAAAATATATGGAAGGGAAATGTGTTCATCAAACATATAAATCGAAGGAATAATTACAAAATTTGAAGAAAGTGGTTCTCTCGCAGATGAAGTTAGCGAACTACGCCGTCGTAATGTTCGTTCTGAAGAAAAGAATACGATGATGCGTTTATTGACTCTTTCTGCAAGCGAAACACTTTCTTGAAATTTTTTAATTATTCTTTTGATTTGCATGTTTGATGTACAGTTTTCTCGTCTATCTTTTGCACGAAATTTTCTTCCAACTTCTGCATAACTTTCACAAAATTTGTAATAATTTTGAATAATAAACAGGCGTTGTTGAATCGAATGTTTCTTCATTTTTGTTCACCGCAACTACGCGACTACAGACTCTATTTGTCAAGTGTCAAATAATACATGGCAATCGAATACGAAAAATTTAAATGGCGCGAGATTGAAAAGTAACACTCAGAAATGGACGTTCTTTAACATTTTACCCGCTTCCCATATTTTATTAATAGCATGGATATTACCTGATGCATAACAAAACCACCGATAAGTAATATTTCTTTATTACAAAATATTTATTTTACAAGAACTAGTATTTATTGTAATAAAACTATAATACATGTAATAAAAACTTGCAGATAGGATACATATAATGAAAACTTAAAACTGGTATACACATGTAGTATACCAGTTCATTCGTATACATGTAGTATTCATAGTACATGAAACAGAAATATATATATATATAATAAAAACTGAAAATTGGAACACGTACATTCATTAGAAATTAAAGCTGAGTCGAATGAGATAAGAAAGGAAGGGAAGAGGTGCAATGTGCAAGAAAATAGAAATAGGAAATNAAACGTATATCAGGGCTGGGTAAATAAGATAACTAATAATTATTTGAAATAATGAGATTATTTCAAATACTTCATTGTTTTATTTCACAGATAATATAGAAAACTATCTTCACTTCGTTTTCAATTGATTTAAATCATATTCAAATGATTTTTTATTCGAATAATCTTTTTATTTCAATTATTCCGCACAGTCGCTCAAATAAAATAACAAATAGTTAAATTAAAATTAATAATATAAATTTAAAAAAAGTTAATATAATATATTAATATATATATAACAAACTATATCATATATTATATGTATAATAATATAATAATATTATATTATATATAATATATAACATATTAATATGTATAAATTACTGATTAACATAATACAAAAATTAATTAATAATTAAAATAACAAATAAAATAAGAATTATTGAATTAATTATTTGAAATGAACTGAAAATTGTACTTAACTAAATTTAATTATGGATGGATAAACTCGAATTATACGTAGAACAGGCCAGGTTTAGTTTGTGAAATATCTGTCTGTTGCTTCGTTAACTTGCGCCTGTGATGAATAATAATTTATAACATTGCAAGTGCATAGCTGAAGAGCATACGAGCGATCTCAAGTTTCAGTGCGCCGACAAAATAATTATGTTATTTATTGAGAATATCTAACAGAATGTGAAGGTAAAGATGTGGACGCTGCAGGTATATACGACGTCGAGGGTGAAGCTAAATACTTTCCCTCGATTTCGTTCACCAAATTAAATACTTTCGTTTTTACATAGTGTTGCTCAACCGGGGAGAAGTGTTTCACCGTGTCCGCCATTAGTTTGAAAAAATGATCTATAGGTTGAATATTTCTTTCCTCTTCTTGCTTCTCTAAAATATATTTCAGTAAAGTTTCAATGGCGTCTCCCGACGACGACACTACACCCATTGGCTTTCTTCTTTTCTGATGGATCAGTGAGTTGGTACCATCATTTTCGGATTCGACATCCTCGCGGTCCATTTGCAGCAGTAAACTATCTTTAACGTCCCTCTCCGCGTCAACTTCCGCCCCTATCGGAATGTCATTCTCCTCGTTCGTTATCGAGGATGTACGCGGCCCTTCGCTGTTGATGTGATCCGATAAAAATAACATCTGATCGTGATATCGCCACTTAATTCGGAATTTTCCCGTCGGTTCCTCGCTCATCCTCCTCTTCGTTTTCGCAAGGTACTTTCTGTACTGTCCTCTTAACGACTCCCAGCGAGTTTTCGCGCCTGCAATTAAGAAAACGAAATCTTTCATAAATAAAATAAAGTAAAATAAAATCTGATAAAATAAATATTGATTTTTCACGAGACTCGAAATAAATTATAGTTTAGTGTTTCTTAGATTTCTGGCTAATACTAGAGATTCTTATTGAAAGATTTCAGCTGTTGTGTTTTGGGGAGGGAAGTAATAAATGAAATATGATTAATTAAATCTCTTATTCCAAGTCTATCTAGAGAGAAGTGGTAGAAACTAGCGAATGAAATATGGGCTTTATGTTATGTTTCAAGTCGTTTTCTACGACTTTTGACCAAAAACTGTGAAAAATCTACTAGAGATTTTCACATTGTTCAACATCCGTAGGTTGAGTCTGTGTTAATCCGATCTCCATAAAATTTTCAGTATGCACACAAGTTACTCGAATTTATGAAACGCATTTTTCAAAATTTCGTTGCAGGATCACATAAAAAAGCTGAAAAAGTTTCTTATTTCTTTTTTGTCATTCCAAGTAATAGCAAAGTTAAAAAGAGGTATTTCAGTCAATGTTATTTCTTGAAGCTTATTACAGATCTTTGGCTTTATTGCGGCGAGAAATAATATAATAAAAACAATCCAATAATAGCTATTTCTATTTTTTATATAAATGTTTAACTTATGTCCTTAACCTGGAGGAACTTTAAGCTATTTACTATGTTTATAAAAATGTAAGAAAATAGTTATAATTTAATATTTAGTTATCCGATTTCTAGTTAGATTCAATAGGAACTAGTTTGTTATGACATTAATAAGTACTTATATAAGTGGTATAAAAAATAGTCAGTAAAAAAGTGTACAAACATGGTTATCATAATAGCCACGGAACCCTTCCAATTTCTCAATTTCCCAATTTTCATTTATGCTCGTGTTTTTAGGGGGTTCCAGCATTTAGCTATCTTACAAGACCCATTTCGCCCTCGAATGGCCCGCACTCGCAATCTGTTTCTGTCATAGCGCACACGGCGCATCATCGTTTTCGGAGACACCACCATAGACTCTGCTCGACTGGCGACAGTAACGTCGGGTGCCTAAGTGCCCCCTTCCCTCCCGCAACTTACAGCAACTCAAATCTCTCACTGTAGTCAACGTCTCGTTATAGTCGCGCCGCCATCTATCCGGGACCGGTGTCCGCCTATCCCACTTGTGACACCAATTGCAGGATCTTGGGAAAAAAGAGGGAATTGAACCCGGGACCTCTCTTTTCGTAGCCGATCGACTTCCTCAAATTACCACGGAACCCTCCCTATTTCCCAATTTCCATTCGCCCTCTTGTTTTTAGAAAATCCTCATCCCCACAGTACGAAAAGATTTTATGAAACGAAAATTGTCAATTTCGAATGTATCATAATTATCAGCAGTATAGCATCGTACAGGGTGTCCCGGAATTTTCCCGCCGAACTGCGAGAGAGTTCAACGTTATAAAAATATTAAAACGTTATACGAACTTTGCAAATTAACGATTTGTTACAGAGATGTGTATAAACAAAAATAGAAATCTTACTATTTCACGAAGTTTCAGTATTTCAGTTATTCTTTTTCCTTTGCGCGAACCTGTTTCATAACTGGAAGCAAGTGTTGATAAACACAGATCTACCCGATATCCTTGGAACTACGCAAACCGTACGATAAATATTATCGTCCAAGATTGTCGAAACGCTGAATACGCTGATATTCATTTTGTACACGGTTCCGGCAATGTAACTGCACGGGTTTGGACAGTTCAGTCGCGGATTTTACAATGAAAAGGAATGACTGAAATACTGAAACTCGGTAAAATAATGAGTTACAGTGAATTCTCTCAAATTGTCCATTTTTGTCTGCCAGCTGAGGGACAATTTAGTAGCATCTACTTTTGTTTATAGATCTGTGACAAAGCGTTAATTCGCAAACTTCATACGACACATTTTTCTTCCTTTGGCCCCTGGATTAAGCTGTCGCCATTTAGTGGGAAAATCCCGGGACACTCTATATTTTCGTATGCGAAATTGACGTTGCTCTAGTTAGTTTTTATTTGTACGCGAACGAGCAGTCAAGCATCTCAAATATCAAAAATCCCGAGCTCTCTATTTTCTCTACAGAAGATACCTTTTTCTCAGGTTCACCCGTTATATACATAGGTTGCTTGCCGGCCGTGGCGGAAAGTGGGGTGCCATGCTCACATGCGCGCGGTCACGGACGCGTAGCTATACGCAGCGTCGTCGTAGTAGTAGCTGAAGTTTTTCACGAATATCTCAGAAACTTCTGGTTTCTGCCAAAAGTGATTAGTATACTTTATGTTCAGCATCCCAAGACGAGTAGAATGACGTACGTTATGTTACGGAAACTTGGAGTTGAGAGGTCAAGTAAAGCTTTCAGCCTGATAATAATATACAGTATTTGTATAGAATTTGTAACACGACTCACCGGATTGGCCAACTGCTTTCTCAATTTCTTGCCACACGCTTCTTTTGTAATTATTGTCGCTGTAACGAGGCGACTGCAGATCGTACAAACCAGGCTTGGCTTTGACTAATTCAATCAGCATTTCGTCTGAAAGCAACAAATTAAAAATGCTACTTAATCTCAGCTTTTAAACTATACGTAAATGAATCTTACAATAAAGTTTATATTTTTTCTATACGTATTTCTTTAAAAAATATCACAATGAAATGATTTTTATAACATATTTCATTTGATCGCGTTGTTTAAATGAATATCACAACAAAACACAAACTATAGGCATTTCTTAAATGAATATCACGATAAAACCAATCTTACAATATTTAAATTAAGGGTATTTCTTGAAAGAAAAAAATATTGCAGTAAAACTATTCTTACAATGTTTAATTTAAACGTATTTTTTTAAAATGAATATCACAATGAAACGAATCTCGTAATATTTAATTTAATCGTATATTACAAATTAATATTACAATGAAACGAACTTCGCAATAATTAATTGAAAGGTATTTCTTAAATGAATATTATAGTAGAACGAATCACACACAGTACTTTAACTATGTGTAATTACCACGATATGAGTAGAATTACAACGATATTAATTATGAGTATAATTACGACGTTATTAACGGCGAGTATAATTGCCATGGTATTAAATATAAGTATAATTTACCTCTTTTGAAAGACCACGATCTTTCGGTTTTCATAGCGACCAGAAGAATAATTGTCTACAGCGCACGCAGTTTCTTTGGGTCGCTTGTTAGCTTGAAAAATGATCGCTGGCGGGCTGACGCTGGAATGAATAACAGCAAACTGGCGGTTGAGGTCGTGCCAGGCCGGTCTCGCTCCGCTAAAATGGTCGTTGGGATTGATCGGAGGTATACCGTGACTGGCACGGAGCGGGAGCTGCGCGGCTGTTGTTCGACCAACCAGACGCGAGAGTAGGGTAGGACAGGGCCGGCTAGCAAAATCGGGAGAGCCCTACGAATTAGGAAGTAACCTAAATATTAGGAATTGTTTATTAATCGATCGAATATTAGTCAAATGGATTCTGTAAATGCGGGGGGGACGGGTTCTGGAAACAACAAGATGTCGGCCGGAAGAGCGAGTTGAAGTTGGAACAGCGGAAGCAACCAGCTCTAATCGATGCCACCGGACAATTACGAAATGCGCGTACATGATAAAACAAAATACGTAACAAAACTCCGATGATAACAAAAAAAACTACGCTATCGACGGTTATTTTCTAATACAATAAAATAACGTTCGTCTTGTATAGGGTCGCCCGGATCCACATCTATGGATCGATATATCTGTATTTTGACATTCAAGAAAAAGTTCTAATGTTTAATTTTTCAAATTAGTAGTGTTTAAATGCCTTATATTACGTCCTAATAAAAAATAGATATTAAAAATCTTATATATAATAAAATATTATATATTTATTATTATATAATAAATAATAGTACAATAAATATATTAATTGAATAAATTTCCCATTTATTATTATATCAACATATCGATATTATTATTATATCATTATATCAATATATTATATTATAAATTCCCTATATATTATTTGGAGACCTAAAGTTTGGATTTTTAATTCTTTTAATTCTTTTTCTTGATATTGCCGTGGTTTTCGGAGCAACACACAATGCAATATCGATATTATTCTCGATTCTTGTGGAAGCCCTATTATGACGCTAAAAGTTTACTTCCATGAGTTCTCACTGATACATTACTCTTTTACACTATATTTGTACAAATGTGGTACTACTACGATAGTATTACTGTAAACGTTACTCAGTAACGCACACACGCACATAATAGAAACTCTCACCGATAGTACGAAAGTTTGACTAGAGCACCTAGCGGGCTATATCAGAGATAAACCTTCGTCACAAGAATAAGTGCGTCCTTCGTACATCATGTTGGAAGTATAAATAAAAGCTCTAAATTATGCTATAAGCTGATATACATTTTTCAATGTCAATGAATCTTTTAAATTCGGAATTTAAGTAGCGCGGAAATGAACTGCCTCGGCAGGTACTGGAACCTTTTAACGCGACGAATACAAAAGTAGGATAGATTTAACAAAGAGCCGCCTCCAGCTGAAAGACGAGCATTATTATAAATAAAATATGAAATTAGCAGAGTTTTATCCTTAGACTGCAGATTTAACGCGTTTATGGCAAAAGTGAATGAGCGAAGAACAAATTCTTCCATAGTTTTTACAATTTTGTTTCTCCTATTGTTATTGAAATTTCAATCAGTTAGCTGTTTCAGAAGGATATATGTATATTTCGATCTTTTTTTAAATTAAATATTATATTTTATAAAAATGTTGTATTCAATTCAATGTTTCCGCTTTTTCCTGACTCACTCTTTAATAAATGGCCACTCAATTATCCAATATCCATCCTTCTACTTCTTTCGTTTCTCTTTTCCGACGATCTTATGTTCTTTTGACCGCCGCAAGAATGTCTGAACTTTCATAATGATTTCTGCTCTGAAATCACAAACTTATTACTGCTGTTACATTTTCCAAGGAAAATGTCATTCGATTGGGTTTTAGGCACAAGCTACATGCTTATGCACAGTTTGTTTTATATTTGTGACGCAATTAGGTCGGTTTCAAATAATAATAGTGCATAGTCTTCCAATTGTGTATGTAAAATTTTCAGTTACAAGTAAAATTTTCGGGTAAGAAAAGTGAACAAAAACAAGTAGTAGAATACCATAGAACAGACCTGTGCGAGTGCTTTCGGCCGCGAGCCACAAGCTCCCACCACCAAACCCTCTCTTTCTCCACTACTTGAGTTCCGTAAACACTACTACTATTCCGCGCCGCAAGCGACGGTGTCGCGCGAGTGTGTGTGAGGCACTGCTGAAGGTGCATAGTGGGGACGATCTACGGAGCACGTAAGAGAGGGAAAGATGCCACATGTGGCTCACGAGCCGCGACTTGCCCAGGTCTACCGTAGAATATCAAGATTCTCAGGAACAAGAAACAAAAGTATGGGTGGAATATTTTATTTATTTAAAAACCCTTTGTTACAGAAGATAACGATAAAGATAATGTTAAAAACATCGAATATATATACATACACATCGCGACAAAACTATAATACACTCCTGAATTTCTAGTGTTCCTTGTACAAAGTCCTGTGTATAAAGTTTTTGTATATGAACATACACAGAGTATCCCTCCTGTAGTAACATATACAAAATTGGCCAGTATCCGTGCTATTTTACAGTATTAATAACAGTTTATAAGAAAAAAACGGGTGCGACAAAGCTATAAGACAGATTAGGTTTTCTGTGAAAAATCAACATATGGAATTCTTTTTGTTATCTTGTAATAATGAGTATTTCTACCCTTCCTTTTTAGTACTTTTAACGTTCTTTGCGGTAAAGATTATACATTTTTTAACTGTGTTTTATTTTCAATTCATCCACGTATCCTCGATACACCTTTCTAACTCTTCTATGATGTTAAACTGCTTTCCCTATTGAGTATACTTCCTCAGCTGGCATTCCCGAACAGTGTTCAGTAATATTCAAATCCTGCGATCTTGCTGGCCACGGTAAAATATCTATATTTTTATCTTCGAAATAAGCTCGTGTTATTCTTGCAGTATGCACAGCTGCGTTATCATGTTGAAAGATATACTTTTGCTTCCCTATTTTTTGTGCATATTTCGATAGTTGCCTATTAAAGATATCCACGTAAGTTCTACTATTCATTTTTGTAGAAACAAATTCAATATCCGCCTTTCCATAACATTTTATAACTGCCCACATCGTAATACCACCGCCACCCATTTGCAGTCTTTGCTACACGATTTCTTCTTTCCTCAGATCATGNATGTTCTTTTGACCGCCGCAAGAATGTCTGAACTTTCATAATGATTTCTGCTCTGAAATCACAAACTTATTACTGCTGTTACATTTTCCAAGGAAAATGTCATTCGATTGGGTTTTAGGCACAAGCTACATGCTTATGCACAGTTTGTTTTATATTTGTGACGCAATTAGGTCGGTTTCAAATAATAATAGTGCATAGTCTTCCAATTGTGTATGTAAAATTTTCAGTTACAAGTAAAATTTTCGGGTAAGAAAAGTGAACAAAAACAAGTAGTAGAATACCATAGAACAGACCTGTGCGAGTGCTTTCGGCCGCGAGCCACAAGCTCCCACCACCAAACCCTCTCTTTCTCCACTACTTGAGTTCCGTAAACACTACTACTATTCCGCGCCGCAAGCGACGGTGTCGCGCGAGTGTGTGTGAGGCACTGCTGAAGGTGCATAGTGGGGACGATCTACGGAGCACGTAAGAGAGGGAAAGATGCCACATGTGGCTCACGAGCCGCGACTTGCCCAGGTCTACCGTAGAATATCAAGATTCTCAGGAACAAGAAACAAAAGTATGGGTGGAATATTTTATTTATTTAAAAACCCTTTGTTACAGAAGATAACGATAAAGATAATGTTAAAAACATCGAATATATATACATACACATCGCGACAAAACTATAATACACTCCTGAATTTCTAGTGTTCCTTGTACAAAGTCCTGTGTATAAAGTTTTTGTATATGAACATACACAGAGTATCCCTCCTGTAGTAACATATACAAAATTGGCCAGTATCCGTGCTATTTTACAGTATTAATAACAGTTTATAAGAAAAAAACGGGTGCGACAAAGCTATAAGACAGATTAGGTTTTCTGTGAAAAATCAACATATGGAATTCTTTTTGTTATCTTGTAATAATGAGTATTTCTACCCTTCCTTTTTAGTACTTTTAACGTTCTTTGCGGTAAAGATTATACATTTTTTAACTGTGTTTTATTTTCAATTCATCCACGTATCCTCGATACACCTTTCTAACTCTTCTATGATGTTAAACTGCTTTCCCTATTGAGTATACTTCCTCAGCTGGCATTCCCGAACAGTGTTCAGTAATATTCAAATCCTGCGATCTTGCTGGCCACGGTAAAATATCTATATTTTTATCTTCGAAATAAGCTCGTGTTATTCTTGCAGTATGCACAGCTGCGTTATCATGTTGAAAGATATACTTTTGCTTCCCTATTTTTTGTGCATATTTCGATAGTTGCCTATTAAAGATATCCACGTAAGTTCTACTATTCATTTTTGTAGAAACAAATTCAATATCCGCCTTTCCATAACATTTTATAACTGCCCACATCGTAATACCACCGCCACCCATTTGCAGTCTTTGCTACACGATTTCTTCTTTCCTCAGATCATGAAAATAATAATTTAGGCTATCAGGTCCATCTAAATTAAAACGCTTTTTGTCAGAGAAGATTACTTTTTCTACTTGTTATGCCAATGTATCCGATGCTCTGCAAATTCCAATCTGGCTTATTTACGTTTATCAGTTAGTGGCGGTTGCTTCTCCATTTTAAGCTTTTTCAAATGCTTAGAACCCTTTATTATTCTCTGCACTGTCCGAACACTCGTTCCCACATCGGATTCCGCTGCTATTTGCCGTGCCGTCATTGTCGAATTCGAAACATGTCTTAAAATTCGTCTCCTTCCTCGCACAGTTCTATGGGGAATTTTTCGCACTGAATACCATTAGACAAATTTTTTTCGCGTGAAAAAGGTTAGTATTTAATGATGATTTTAATGAAGTAGAATATAATGTGCTTTTGACCCTAATTTCGTGTCCTTTCGGAGGCTCTGTGCATAATTCTGTGCCCTGTATTTCTGTGCCCCAACATCTGTGCTTGGCCATACTTCTGTGCCTGTCACGTTTGAGTCTTGCCTATACATGTATGTGTATTATTTATATATTTATTATATTGCGTATTACATATATATTTATTATATTGCCTATACATGTACAGTGTGGCCGGAAAAATAAGTTACGCAAGGATTGGAAGCAGACGACGCATGCGCGGGAGTCTCGCAGAGCGGCCTGGCGCGTCTACAGAGTGA